TTCTAGCAGAAAGCACCATCTGCCTTCATAGCAGCTAAGAGAAATTGTCAGCAAGGATCCAAAAATATAGTTCAAAAAATATGCTATCACAGGACACTTGTTTCTATGATACTAGTCATAATCTATTGCTCTTACTGATGACCTAAAGAATATGCAGAAACCAGGGCAAAAATAAAAATAGAAAAAATGGAAGATGGGGGTGTGTTCTAGGTTAACCTTCAGCAAGACTTTCTTTTCTTTCATTATTTTCAGAGCTGAGATTTAGAAGGGAAAAACTGTGCACTGGGTACTTGAGTGGACTTCAAACAGAAGTAGTTTTCTTTACAGCTTTTGGGTATCTTTGTTTAAGAGAAGCTGTTACAGCTGTGATTAAGTACAAAATGTAATGCCAATGTATTCACAGGGCTGTTTCCCAAGACAACTGAATGCATTTGTTCCCCATATTTGGCACAATTTTAATACAGATAAGAAATCTAGGTTTGTCCTGGTTCAGAGCAAATTTGGGAGAGAATCCCCAAAGCGGCTACACTAGGAAAGCAGATTCAATTGGCCCCTCCCCGGGTTGTAGCTGAGCTCCGTCCGCTGCTGGAAATGTTGTGGGCCAGGCCTGCCCAGTGGGCCACAGATGCTAGCTGATGGTGCTCTTCTGGGTGTTCAGTCCAGAGCAGGTTTCAAGAGGTCCAAAGAAAAGGAGAAAGACAAAAAAAAAAAACCAAAAAACCACAGTCCAGGGAACTTCTTTGCCTTAGCCGGGTAAACTAACTAAAAGCCAAACGAGAGCTCTGCCCCACTGTCTGTCCATCCACAGACAGCACAGTCCAGGAGCAGGAATGTGGATGAGTGGAGTGCAGTGTCTGAAAAAAACTGCGTGCTTCTTCTCTCTCCCCTTCACTCTCTGGAACAAGGCTTAAAGGTGCAAAACTTATTATTCAGCATAAACAGAATGAGATGATTGGGGATGAAAGCATCATATAGTCAACCCAGGACAAGGTTCAATGAACACAAGGTTGTCAGCCTACAGAGGAAACAAGAAGTGATCTGAAACTGGATAATAAAGCAGACTAACGTGGAAACATAGAACTGTGTATTTCTGGAATGAGAAAATGTAATTTAAGATATGAAGAACTGAACAATAATACAGAGTTTCTTCTTCCTTATAAATATGTAGTTTTACAGGGAGACTTACACCACTTTAGTAAGCATATCAGGTCAGAGATCTTTAATGCACAGAGTGATGCTGTTATCTAATACTATGATCTTATAAGAACTGACTAAAGGCTGCTGTGAAAGTAGGTAAGCCCATATGCTGCCACCAAACTCAAAAATAGACAATGAAGTGGAAGGCAGCTCCAAAGCCAAAGAGGGACTTACAGGCAGACCTCTGATGTCCTGGAACATAGAAGAAAAAAGAGAGTTTTCAAGGAGTGTAGAAAAAGGCATTTAGAGTGACTGCCTAGAGAAAAAGAATGAGGGTATTTTTTTCTAGGTTCTAGGAAAAAAACATATCAAAAATAGAAGAATCATGTGAGACAGAACAGTTTTTTTTGTGGATTGTCAGCTTTGTGATGAACCTACACTACATACCTGTATTAAAATTCTGCCAAAGCAGAAAAATTTTAAAAGGCTGAAGGTGGACATGTGAAAGTAATATATTTAGTGTAAACAAGAATGAAAAAGAAACAAAATTGGAATATATGGTAGGGATAATTCATGCTATTAATGTATGGCATAAAAGATTGTAAAAATCCAAACATGTCTCTGACCACCTCGGCCCGAGAGCAGCTGTCTATTCAGATTACAACTAATTCCCGGACACAAGCTAAGATAACGATCGATGCTTTAATGTAAGAATAGAAGCTTCCAGGGCAATGATCACCGGTATCTCGAGTCTTCGGGAACCACCTAGGAGCGATAATCGCCTTGCCGATTGCATCAATCAAGATAGTCAGCGGCGGCCTGATACATCTGAATACAGGGCTTCCCCGGAGCCTATCAACGCTGACTGTACACCTGGAACTGACCTTTGTCCAGCTCTGCACATTTTAAAAAACAGCAATGAATGTGAAGAGTTACAAAAGAAATTTGGACACCTTTGCCTCGGGCACAATAAACTGTATAAAACTGTGCCGCAAGAAGTGACATTCGTGAACGGGGGAGATTCTGACATGCTAGGGGTCAGGTCCAGGTTCACCCAGCACCAATCCCAGGCTCGATGCTGCCTCTTCAGCTGTGGTGGTCTCAGAGACCGAAATTTGATCATGCATAGATAGATTAATAAATCCTTTCAAAATTTTTGATCATTTGGCTCATGATTAATCATTTATAACAATCTGGTGACAACCTGAAGTGATTTGAACTTGGGGTTCAGGACCCCTTCCCGGCCAGAAGGTGCCTTGCTGATTTCCGCAGTCTGAACAGGATTGGGAGTTCGCGAGACCAATCAAAAATCACCAAACCAAAACCAGAGCCACAGCCAAAGAGGGATAAAATGGGCCCAGTTCTCGGATTCTCGGCAAGATCCAGGAGATCTCCAAGCCTGAGGTGCTTTTTTCACTCAGAAATTGACGTGCACGAAGAATTCACGTGGGAAAGGAACCTTGAGTATTGCGTGGTTGAGTGGGTGTGACCGACCGTGTGTGTGAGATGTGACTCTGTCATGAAGCAAATGTGGACCCCACAACTGCATTTCCACCATCCCGTGAGGAATGTGGTCAGTCAAGGAGGAAGCGGACGCTTTTTCTAAACACACGTGGGACTTGGGACTTGTAGGGAGTTCAGGGGGGAATTGGTCACGGTTGGGTCAGAAGGGGGAAGAAAAGATGGTCCTGGAAAGTTCCAGGAGCCCGTCTGCCTTCTGATCTGGAGAAAACAGGTAAGAAAACTGGAGATCAGTTGAAAAGTCCATGGAACGGTTCTCCACGTGACTGAGTAAGACTGGAAACATTTTGCAAGCTCGGGAAATTGACATCAGATGAGAATTTGGGATGCACAATGAGTGTCCCAGCCAGAGGAGACAAGGTGAGAAAATTTGCAGGCAGGATTTTTGGAAAAAATGGGGTTGGGAAAAAGCAGGTTCCAGAAAAAGCCCCAGGAAAAAATCTCCCCAGGGTCTGAAGAAAGTTCTGCCAGAAATTCCAAGGAAGAGTCTGTTGGGGTGGATGCTAGAACATTGGGACGACAGTCCCAGGAAAGCAGGGAGGTCCGAGGAAAAAATGATACATTTTTGCATGGAAGAATGGGGAGGGAAGGAGATTGGAAAATACGTGGTCTGGCCAGTGTTCATCATGTTTGAGGCATGGACTTGCGAGTCCCTGTACGATCACGTATTTGATCGCCGCCAGCAGGATTTTGAGGAAACTGAGTATGCCGAAATGTGGAGGTATGCTGGTATGAGTTTGTACCCGGTAGGAGCTCTCAGATATCCGGCAAACAGGGGAAAGGGATAGGAACCCTTGGACAATCTTCCACCTACCTACCTTGTTCCTCCGCCCCAGCCCGGACCAGTCCATGCACCGCTGGTGCCCGTGTTGCCTCTCGAGGTTGTGATCCCACTGGGACAGATCTCGATGCTGCTGCTCCCACTGGAGCAGGCTGCGGCGTCTTCTCTCCCACGTGAAGAAGCGGTGGCACCTCTGCTCCCATGTGACCACTTTTTACCTCCCAAAACTGGGAAGCAGTAGATTCTGTCCCTTATTCCAGATGGTTAGTAACTTGCAGAAGGTTTTCTATTTAAGTCTTTAATTACCATCCAATGTGAATAAAGATGGCAAAATTAGATCATACTGCAGTATTTTCCTAGATTTAACCTGCAATCCTGCAACTACTGTACTCATTCAGGTATATACACTGGTGTATGAAGAGGCCTGTGCTGGTGAAACCATGGAAAGATTTGGTGGATTTGTAAATATCTCACGATAGTTGGTAGAAGGGGAATGAACGATCTTCACAGTGAGGGGAGATAGCTGAAGTGTGTGTTTTAGAAGCTCACTGTGTAGCAGAAGACAAAGCATAGAGTACTCTGGATATACAAGCCTGACATTCGAAACTAGGCTTCTGCAAGATCTAAAAATATTTGACTGTGCACTTGAGTAATATCTGTCTAATATTCTTACCAAACTAGGCAACTGTCTCAGTTTGAAGGATTGTCTGTAAAGGAAGGCAGGAGCCTCCCTTGAAATGGAAAACATAAACCCCTTCCCTCCAAATTACTGTAATTTTGAAATTCAGGGGCTTTCAGGCAGACATATGAGAATAGGAACAACAATTATTTACTAGTATGTATAACAAGACGAACAAACAACAACAATGGCAGTGACAACAAACAGAACCAGAAACCCCATCCCAGCCTTCTCGGCTGCAGGCACTTTCCCCTCTGGTGCAGTTCCGGTCACAGCCGGCAGGGGCGCTGATGGCTCCCACTGGGCAGCGCAAGTGCAGTGTTTCCCCCTTTGCCTGCAGGGGGCGCACTGGTGGGAGCTCATGGAGCACGCTGTAATGGCGGGTTGGCCCAGACAGGAAGGCATAATGGTGGCTTTGTCCTAGACAAGAAGGGGATAAAAAACAGACTTTGCTTCGCAAACCCCTTGGGTCAGTCCATCCTAGTGCCCCAGCAGGACCCTCAGAAGCAGCAAACTGGAACGGCAAAAATGAGCAAAACTCTCTGGGGACAGTAGACAAGATATATCAAACCCCACAGCTGTATTGGGAACCACAGGACATCTTGGCAAGCAGGGCGTGTGGGGCTACAGTACAGCAAAAGCCTGGAGCGGTGGCAAAGAAGTGGCGGGGGCGCACCAGTGGCAACCCAGCTCCCAGCAGGATAGGAAAAGGCTAGCTCTGGATCCCGGGATTTTCCCCTCACGCACCTGAGCAGATTATGATAAGTCTCTCTTTTACTGAGGCAGTGTTATCAATGATCAAATCTGTAGCCAAATTTATAAAAAAATTTGACAAAGATTTATTAAGTCAATTAACAAAAATAGAAAATTTCAAAATCTCACCACAGCCAAGTCAGTGTCCTGGGAGCAGCCGCTGGGTGACCTTGGGTTCCTGCTGACAGAGACAGTGTTCTCCTGAAGGTTCACCCCAAGTGCTTCCAGCAGCCTGCTTATATACAGTTTATTCTGCTTGAGGCAGAGATGACCACATAATTCTTTGTCTCTCTTTGCATGTAAAGTTGGATCCATACATGTGTAGAAACAGACAAAGAGAGTGTCCAAAGCCTTGATGAATGTCTGAGTGCCCAAGAGGAAGAGCTATTCACATGTAGTAGATGATGCCATCTCTTGAGTAGTAGAGATTCCATCAAATCCAGGTGCATGATCTCGTGGGCTTCCTGAGATGTCCCATTGATCATCACCCAGGAAATTCCAGATGATATCTTCCAGGTGCAGAGGAAATCCCCTCTGACGACTCCAGCCTGTCTCCTACATCTGATAATGGGTCTGGTATAGTCCCAGAGCTTGTCTGGGAACTGGTTACCTTGTGAATACCTCTAGTCCCTCGTGGCTCAGGGCTACTCTGTTCATACGATAACAGGGTTTGATTTTATCTCAACTCTGTCTGGGAATCAGTTATTATGTGAATAGGACTCTGTTCCTGGACAGGGTGGTTTCACAAACATGGGTTTAGACTTTACTAATATTTTATACATACATTATCTATTTCTATAGCATGAATTATCTCTACTGCATATAACAGGCAGGCTGTTAATAAGGTTCCAGTACAAAAGCTGCTCTTATGAGCAGAGCTCCACTCGTGGTAGAAGAAAGGCAGCAGGAGACGGAACCCTGCAGTGGGTTCTCCCCACAGCGGCCGACTGCGGCCTCTCTCCCCTCTGAAAGCTGAGAGTGCAAGAGACTGCACTCAACCCCATTTTCCCAGTCCAAGTCTCGGGCCTGAGCCCTGACAGCTTCTTTTGTCTGTCTCTCTTAAATATCCAGTCGTTATCGTCTCCTAGCAACATGTAGGAGGAACATTCCTTGAGAGGGAAAAAAAACAACAAAATCCTGAAACCCAGCAATAATATTATACATGACCACAAATTATTAGGGACTTCTTGAGAAAGGAGTTTCCTCATCTAACCCTGCATTAACCTAAAGCTTGCCTCTGTGGAACTTCTATATACACAGCACCAAACAGTAAAACAAATGCTGTGAAACTGTAGCGTTGCTGGGATTCTGCTGTCCTCCAAGACATAGATTGGTATGCATGAACACGTTGACATGTTTAATGTGCTTGTGCTGACGTGTCCAGGAAAATGTATGACATTTGTGATTTTAGCCCTCCCTACCAGTTATTTGCGTACCGTTGTCTGAGGCCATCAGGAGTGTGCATGAATTCTATGTATTTGCTGGAATATACAACACACATAAGGCTTCTCAGATGCACAGTGGGGAGTTCACCAGCTACACATGATTTTACATTTTTTGCACCAATTTTAAGAGTTTCAAATAAAACAAAATGGATTAAAGAGGACACTGGATCAATTTGTGATTACAACTGAGGAACCTGGGATCCATAAACCAGTGAATGGATCTCCCTCATCCATATGCAAGTTCCAATTTCCAAGTTTCTGGGAATATTTCCAATGACAGTCCCTCTTAAATAATACCACTGCAAGTATTCAATACAGGTCACTAATAGCTACTAGAATTTGCATTATATTTAACTCTTTCAATTAATTGTTGAGTAATTTCAATTACAGGTCAAAAGTGGAATTTCTAGGAGAAAACAAAATGCAAGTTTTTCTTTAAAGCAGTGTATCTTTCAGTTAAGAGGAAAGAATCCCATGTCAGTAATGCAGCCTTTACTTCACTGAGCATTAATAATACTTGACAAAAATTCTGTGAGTCTGATTCAAGTTTTGGGCTATGGATATTAAATCATCTATATATCTGCAAAGTTACACCAGGGTAAAAAAAATCTCTAAAACACACAGAAGGAACAAATGTGCTTACAAGGTGCAGAAACATAAAGAAATTGTGTAGAAATCCGATCTTATGAGAAATTTTGATATGAAATGTTATTTCCCAAGTAATTGTAAGAAAATTCTGATGCTAATCTGCCATGCTATTGACCTCACTAGAAAATTTAGTCCCTGAAACAAACCAAATAATAATTATATGTGAATACAAAACAATTGAAATGGTTCACAGATATTTTGCATTCTTTCAAAATAATTTATTGTGAGAAGAGATTTTAATTTCTTCTGGACAATAAACTGACCAAATTAACAGACAACTTGACCATAGCATTCTTTTAAAATGCACGGAAAGATTGGTGACAAATGTACTCACTTCTTCATCTCACATGGTGATGAAATAATTTCAGCAAACACTATTTATTCTGAGATATTATGTTGCTTTCAAAGTCAGTTTTCATCTGTGTTATATCTAATATGCAGAGGACAAGGACCATTTTCCTGGGACTGGATAGATCAAATAATCAGTTCATGAGTGGAACACCAATAATATGCAAAGTCTAACAAAGTATGTGGTACATACAGAGAGTTACAGAATTTGTAAGTTCCTCTAGAGCATCAGCAAAACTGACATACTTCATAAATTTCAGCTTTTTTTGCACTGATGCAAATTTTCCTTTCTCTTTAAAGGTGTTTAATAAAAGGTAAAATTGTATCCTGCTGCTCTGCTGTATGATTATTCTAATGTAAATCCAGTGTTATTACATCCAGGTTTAGTTTTATCACAGTAAAAGTGTTGAAAGGAACACTGAAACTTCCCTAAAATTATTTTTTCTCCATCAATGTGGCAAGGACATTGTGGAAAAATTATAAACTCACATCAGTGAATACAATATTAATATAAAAATAATGTTTTTCTAATAAATCTGGATAAATTTAGATAAAATATATCTATTTAAAGTCTTATCTTTGACATAATTCTGTAAGGAAAAGTGAATTGATTCCAGTTTCAATTAAAAGTTTATCATGGGAATGAAAATTGATACAATAAATTGAGGCATCTTATTGTTGTTGCTCTCCAGTCTTTGACTTACACAACTAGAACTGTTTCTCTGAGCTCATCTCTCGGTGCTTGTGCTTAATAGTCTTTCAATGAAGAGAAAGTTCAGGCTTCCTTTTCAGTTTTGTGTTCTTTTTAATATGCATTAGATCAACTAACTGAGAAAAGTCTCTAAATATATTTTAGATGGACGAACAAAGCAAAATCAGTTATAACTGAAATTATTTCCTGTCTCCACCCAGTAAAAAGTAGAGTCTCAGGCTCAAGTGAAAGATGAAAGAAAAATGCACATTAATCAAGTACGAAAAAGAGAAAGTTTCTTTGAATGAGGAAAAGGTGATTGGAATTAAGATAGGCTTTGTTCATATCTGCAAGTTGCATGGAGAGTACTTTTCAGTGGAACAGAAAAGGGGGATTTGGGAGTGTTTGCCTGCTTAATGCTATAGTTCTTCAGAGCCCATGTGAAAATTTGCTGCTAGCTATTAATCATCATTGTGTCTCTGCAAAGGAGCTATTACAATGATGACTATATGTCATTATATTTCCACTCTAAGTAACGAATCAGAGTGCTGGGAAAGCTGGATAAGAGCGGCTGGCAAACTTTTAAGCTGTGGAATCTATTTAAATAAATTTACATCACATTTGCTATTTTTGCTGGTACGGGAATCATACTTAAACATTAAACAATATGCTATGTTCATGGGTCCTGGTCTTTTATTCTCCTGTCTCTGAGCCTACTTTCCAGGTCAGCTTTTGCCAGTGCTGGCAGCACGTTTTTCTCATAGCCTCTCATTCTCATAGCCTTTAGTTGCTTTCAAGTTGAATTAATCACAATGAAGTTTTTATGCATGACAGTTTGGAGAGCAGAATAGGTGGTGTCTGAGCCTGCTGTGTTGCTGCAAAATGGGCTCATTCTCTGCAAGCTAGCTCAGTTACTGAGGGACACTACAGTGAACATCCAGATGATCCAATCCTGACGAAAACAATTAGCTTCAAACTGCAAGAAGCCACAGGGTTACCTTTTGTTTCAGTGAGATTGCACCATTTAATGTGCTGCAGCGGATGTCAAATTTACGTTGATTTATCCTGTTGTACTCTTCTTTTATGGTCTTTATTTATAGATGTGTAAAGCAATTAGGAAAGTTTGAGTCTCATACAGTTCAGGAATTGTATGAGAATTGTATCAATCTAAACCATTGTCTTATGTTTATTCTACCAAGTACTAGACTTGAAATATGTCAGGCTTAATTCTGTTAGGCTGAACTGCCTAAAACAGAGCCCTGAGGTTCCTCAAACAGAACCTGAAAGTTTCTCTTCAGCTAACCATCAGCAACAAGCCAACAATAAACAACCCCAAAAATGTTCAAGATGACAGTACGGATGTCTGTTACAAGAATACTGGCAAGAAAAAAACTGGCAATCATTTATAAATGGAAAATTATACAACAATTAAAAATTAGTTAATTTTGAGCCTGTATCAAGGTGCTGTAAGTCACCTATTCTTGCCAGGCACAGCTGGTTTTGTTCATTGCTAAGAACCTTGTAGGCCACTGAATTCAATAGTACAACACAGCTGCTACTCCTGCAGGGTAAATATTTATTTTGGCATTAACTTAGCTATTAACACAATGATAGTTTCTTATTTTTCCTTATCAGGCTCTCCTAGCAGTACTACGACAAAACAAGCCAGTTGCACATTACCTGACTTTACACTGCTAAGAGCCAAGTACCTGTTTTTCAGATTACCCAGGAAAAAAAGATTCTGTTGTTTTGATTATATATTTTGGTATTTAGTAGATAAACCCATCAAATAATTCTCATTCTAGATCAAAACTTACAGCAAAGATTATTTAGAATGCTTACACCCTCTTTGTCTATTGCCTCCCTTTCCACTGCCCTCTTATTTTCTTTCTTATTTTTTCTGGTTTTAATCTGCAGGAAAAAAATATTATCAAAATTCCTCTCTTGAAATCTGCTTGGTGTGGCTTTGTGTTTTTGAAAGGTAAAATTATATTGTGCCATCAAGTCTTTTATGTCTTTAAATTATTACTGTTTATCAAAGGACCAGATAATGTACTTAAAATTTCTAGTTTTGAACAACATAAAATGCATTTACTACAGATATAAAAAACATTACAAAATCTGGACTAATTGCAGTTTGAATTTCAGAAGTCTATTTTTTCCCTACTGTTTATTAACCTTCCTTCAACAATGCATGAGTACAGCTTGGTGCAATTAGTAGGCTACAAAAAACATGAAAATAATTAGTACTACATTTAAGGCCAGGTATAGATTTTGTGGTCAAAAAAAGACAGAATAAGAATATTTGACTTCTGGATATCATTCATTCAAATTATATAGGATATTATATAGTCAAATGTGCAGCGCTATCCTAACTATTGGATACAGATTTTTTTTCCCTATCATGCATTCACAAAAAGGCCAGACATTATTTTTGCAATATTGCCACAGCTAGACATTTTCTTTATGCACAAGTGACCTCATGCAAAGAAGCTGTGATACATGATGGTGTTTATTCCTTATTTAAGTAAAGAAGTGTAATGAGTTGTGTAGTTAAGGAGGCAAGTTAATCTGTTAAGAAAAGGTTGCATGAACATGCCTTTAAAATCACATAAAGAACCTTTGCTTCATGTATTTTAGTCAAGAAATATGGCTTTGTTGTACTTCTTCAACCACCAGTGACATAGGTCTCACTGATTTTATCAGTAGAAGATTTAGGTCTACAAAATGGAAAAAAGCCACTGAAAAAAAGGGTTTCTCAGGACAAAATGGAATACAAAAAGAAAAGAAAATAGAAAGAACCAGAAGAGCAACACAACCTTGAAGCCAGTTTAGTTTGAACACATGACCACTATAAATCATGAATGTCCTAAGCAAGAAAGTACGTGGTTGTGTCAAAAAACAAACAGCCTAGTTTTAGGTCAATAAAAATAAAATATTTAAATTCTTTTAAGTCACTTTTATAATAATTTTGTTG